GTAAGTTTTACGCTGCACTCAGCAATGTTCCAGCTATATGGCGGAGATCTGTAAATAATCGAGTCTGGACCAGACGATCCACTGATCAACAGCATGAGCATCGATTTACGCAATTAGGATACGATGACAGGTGTCAACCATGTCAGCGAGCCTCACCACCAGATCCCATGGTTTAAATACCACGATCTGTCACTATATAGTAATATTTACGCTGATATTAATATCAATCTCTAAATCAAACACTTCTGATACTAAATTTGTTTAATTTGATTTTGACAGCCCCAGCTCAACCGGTTAGAATGGAGATGTCTGCTTCTTTCTCAGATGTCCTTCCCTATATTTTACATAGATGCTAGCAAAATCGTTTTAGCATAACACACAGTTTTTCGGAAATTTTTATATGGGACGTCCTTTCATTTTGAGAAAATGCCATTAAATAGATGAGTTAGTGGATTTCCAATTTACTGAAATCGTAAGCGCTGAGAGAAAAGTACAGTTACAGATCCAATGTAAGCGCTCAAATCTGGTGTTGACAACGGTTGCGTGTCAACTGGAACAAGGAATAAGGGACGCAACTCTTCGCGTCTAACAAGGACGACTTGTGTGACCAGTCCTCATGCGTCATATTCAGATGGTTAACTTGTACATTGCTTTCAACGTTTGTACCGATACATTTAGATACGTATTTTTCCGCCGTGCTAACTGTATTTGTCCGAATGTCTATATATTTTCAGAATAAAGAATTAAAGTCATGATTATTGTCGTTGATTGTTTGGATTGTTGATTGTTAAAGAGCAACTGTGTACATATTCTGCTGTGAAATTGTTTACCCAATCAGCCTCTTTATCTATGATATTTAAAGAGCAACAGTGTACATATTCTGCTGTGGAATTGTTTACCCAATCAGATCAGTTTCTGTATCTATGACATTTAAAGAGCAACTGTGTACATATTCTGCTGTGAAATTGTTTACCCAATCAGCCTCTTTATCTATGACATTTAAAGAGCAACTGTGTACATATTCTGTTGTGGAATTGTTTACCCAGTCAGATCAGTTTCTGTATCTATGATATTTAAAGAGCAACGGTGTAAACATTCTACTGTGATACTGTTTACCCAATCAGGTTTCTTTATCAGGTCTTTAAATAATATCAATGTAATACATGCATATGCATGTTTGTGGTTAAAGGTCATTGCAAAATGTCGTCACAACCTGGCATGTTGATTGACTAGTTCCAAAAACTACTTCAACAATCTATGAATAGAAGTATACAGAGAGGATTGCAGTACGTTAGACTATTTCAGGTGAAAAGGTGTCACTAGTTTGTGGAATGGCGATGTGTTATCAACGTGTCACTGTGGGCTCTTGGGGAAACTCGTGCAGATTCCGGAAAGGAGCCAGTAAGCTTAGTTTATCTTAAGGAGGAATAAGTGATGAAAGGTGTCACTAAGGTCTCCTGATATCAGGACTATTTGATCTGTCAGCTGTACGAGAACGCAAAGTGGAATGAACGAGTTGGGTTTACGCAGGTTTTAGGAATATTCCACTAATATAAGGCCGGAAAGACCAGGAAAGGACATCGCCCATTGGAATGAGGATTGAGTGGCTACAAAACGTACCTAGGGCCAGCGTGCTATTAAAGGGACATGAGACTATCTGAATTTGATGGACGGGACCTCAGTGTTTCACGCCCTGGCAGCAGAGCTCATGCTGTCAACCACCTGTTTTCTAGATCAGAACCGTGATATTTCGTTGATATTGGCGACTACTACGTTAACTGTCTGTGTCAATAGCGCCTGGTGGCATTAAACCAATACATAGTACACTTTTCACAAAATGCTATTTTGAGCATATTGAAAAAACCTATGTTTTAAACATATTGGAAACTAGCACGGTAGCAGCAGATAAGTAAGGCATTCCGTACCTCCTACCAATATACGCCACATAAAAGGTTACGCACAATCTCTTGTCTATTCTTATATAGAGAAAGCGCCTGTATGTCTTGAAAATATAATGATGCTGAATCTTGCTGTAGGGTTGTGTGAGGAACACTGTATGTTCCTCCTGATTCGCATCTTACCATAATATGAAGAAGTGCGAGCAGATACAAGCTATTCAAATAACAGTTGTCATGGATCAGATAAAAAGCATGACACTGGCTCATTTGCCTTAGCTTCTTATTGAATAAGTGAGTGAGTGAGTGAGTTTAGTTTTAGCAATATTCCAGCAATATCACGGCGGGGACACCTGAAATGGGCTTACATAAGAACATTACATTTTGTCAACCGATTACAAAACATGCCACTTGATGCTCTATTTTTATTTTGTCATTGAATATAATCAAGTCACTGTCTCAACAAAATGTAAGTTTAAGAAATAACGGTATCACACACGATGCGATATTGATTATGGCTCTTTTGTAGTTCATATTGTTGTCGGTGCACGTGTAGCTTAAATTCTTTTCATGTATACCACCCCATACTATTTGCACACGCCTTGGGAAAAGTCGAAGTTTATTTAGAACGGAGAAAAACGTTCATATGAAAGGAGGTGAAAACCGTGACCACGATACAGGTACGATACAAAGTGTTGACAGCAGTATTGTAGCAAAAAACGTTTTCTGCAATGAGAAACCAGGCATATAAAACTTACATTGTTGAGTGGTCGACATGACACCACTCTAACACCACCAGACTGCAGACATATTTTATCTAATCAAATCACTAGTACACCAAAGTTTGACAACATTATCTAATGCTTTGTGCGGTCACAATGCCATTCATCAAAGTGATACACCTGTCATAATAATCACTCCGATAACAGCTTGAATTACAACCCACGATTTCCCGTTGTTACATTTGTACATATGAGTCACCCCAAATAACAAACCATAGTACATTTAATAGTCAGTTGTGGCAATGGATAGAGTCGTGGGCCTTTTATCGTTACTACATTTCTTCCGATGTTTTGATGGTGAGTATTTGAGATGATATCATTTGAGATGATATTACATACATTTGTGTGGTAACGTTTAGCGACACCGAGTGCCTGTGAAATATTCGGTAAGCAGCTGTACTACATTAATAGGATGCACCGTTTACTTATCACTGAATTATGTAATCAATAGCTGAGGTGTATGTGTAACGGAGTACTATGCATGTGATGATGAATTTGAGCCAAACCAAGGAGAGTACATATAGAATGTTATTGATATATTTAAGTTAATTTATTGACCATGACCCCGTCACGATCCTTGCAAACAGCTAAAACTCCTGGTATTCTTATATATTAATGCAGGGTTATAAAATTGTGGGGCTCTTTAGTTTCCGTAAACTTTATGTAAACTTTCACATTGCACATTATCTGAATATCCAGAAATAGTTAACAGTTACAACATTGTCTACGTTGTATATCTGGTTCTCCTAGTTAGACCAAAACCCTTATGAATAAAAATAAAAGAATAGTTAATAAAAAACAATCTGGAACATCAGATCCGGCATTTCACCAGGAATGTACTACTCTATGGCTAATAATCAGCCTAAAATCAGAAGCAGGTGTCAGTATAAACTCACTCCTCTAAATTTTAACATTTGCCATCTTAAACAATGTAGGCATTTAATGAGTGTATACGTTCAAAATTCGGAAGTTTGAACAAATCATGTTTTAACTATTTGTTTATCAAGGTCACTTAGTTTGGAATTCCAAAATTAGATACAAATCTGTGGTCACACTTCCAGAATATTAGACAAACCGAAAAAGCCAGTGTTCGTTGTCATGGTCATGGCTAAATAATAGGAACAATCTTTCATGAAAAGGGACACAAATAACGGAAGAAATATATATATGAACAGAAAATCTGTATTACGTCCCACCAACTAACTAGCATTAAATACAATAATAGGAAACAAATTAAACTGAAAATAGTCTTTCTTATTCAAACGAGTGTATAGTGTTATGGGGGTATATTGTTACATACCTATTCCGTGTGCACAGTGCTGAGATCAACCTTGATGCTTGGTATATCTATTATTGTAACAAGTCCCTGGCAGCGTTTGAGGTTTCTCTGACACATCCGCAGAGCGTACCCGGCCTTATGATTGACATACTAGTAAAGTGGCGCTTATGACAGTTCCAATTGACAGACTGGGTCGGTCTATTAAAATACGTTTGGTAATGCATTATAAGACATATATGATATGACATATTTCAGTTGGGGCCAGTTCCTCATCGTGCTTAACTGATGGATGTCGACATGGAAACGGTGGACTAAAATGTCAGTCATGCGACGTTGGTTGCTATGGAGCAAATTGCACCATCCCTTGTAATGACAACTGTCACACAGACGGGTGTAACAGAATCACTGGGGAATGTTTTACATGCAAGCCAGGATATTATGGACGAGACTGCAATGTGTCCTGTCCGAGAAGATGCTCGGGCATCACAACTATCTCTGCTATGTGTGACCGTTATACCGTTATAACTTGAACTTCTGGAAACCTTGTGAAGTAGGGATGGCACGGTCATCGTTGCGCCACTCAAGTGTAGCATCTCCTGCAACTCGTCTCGTTGGCTACAGTCACATGGATGGTGCCTGTGTAGATGGCTGTAAGTCTGCTGGACCATGGCAAACTTGATGTCTGACACCCTGCAGTACAACGTGCAAGGAATCACTGTGTGCCAGTCAAGATGGTTCGTGTATCCACGGCATTGTAACCACAACTGGGGTTATCATGGAAACAGGCAATGCCACAAGAAGTGTATCAATTTTAAAGATGATGGCTGTGACATCGATATGGGAGATGCAGATATTGTCAAGACGGGTGGAGGGTTGGCAGACAATTGCACCCTGACAACGTCAAGGATGTCCCAGCGCCTGTCACAAGGGGTTATGGAAAGCAATGCCACAAGAAGTCTCAATTTTAAAGATGATCTAACATATGAGACTAAGGGAGAGTTGAGATCCATGTCCCAGCGCCCTGTCACACATGTGATGAAGATGGCCGGCGAATCACAAGCTAAAGGTCATACCCACACATCATCAGGTTCAAGCGGCTTACACACCTACACATCTGGTTCGTGTCTATGTGTCTTTTACCCATGCGCTCAAATCGGGTGTTATTAGTAAAGTCATATTAACTTGGCTTGGAACAATGCCAGGTGTTTAACACCAGCTGCAATGATTACCTGATTAATTATTTATTAAGTCTGCAAGTTAAGCGAGTTCTTTAATCCTTACTGAAGCAGATTGAGAGTTAATCCTTTGGACTTGTTTTAAGGCCACGTAATGACGAATTAGCATCATGTCTCTTGAAAATCAGAACAAAAATGATTCATACTTCACCTTTATATATACCCTCCAGATAATGATGATGATAATAATGATTAACGGTTTTACATATGTGTCGCATGACTTAAACAGATTGGGAAAACAAATTGCTCGCTATTAATTTAATGACATTTAAATTAATTGCTTCCACATATCATATTTTCTTGCAGCTTGAAACAAACACCATGAAGCTACAGTGAATGTTAGTATAACAGTTTGCTGCAAATGATGCCCTCCAATCAGTGTATGCATGTTATATGTTTGCCATTACATATTCCAGATGCCTATGGTTCATATTGGTATGGTATTTCTATTCATTAGGTAAACTGACTAATGGAACCTTGGATGAATCCGAAACAAATGCGCCAGGAGCTGGTGCCGTGTTTGGTGCCGTGTTTGGTGCCATCGTGATAGTCTCACTGGGTATAATCGGGGGGTATACTGGTCTACAGAAGACGGCATTGTAACCACCGAGGTCAGTTCGTATCATTCTTATCAGAACATGTTTCAAGCACTACATATAACACGTGAAAGAGAAGCATATCCCTCCAGATTGAATGAACCTCTTATGCAGACTTCTATGCAGAAGTTTAAATCGAAATGTCAATCTGAAAGAAAATGAAGTTGAAATCATTATTGATTTGGCCGTTTAAACAGTAGTTGTATGTTAATATGTTAAAGGACCTCGATCATTACGCATCATATGGTACTCTAATATGACAATATACAAGTTCCTTCATCCATTTTCATGTGACAAATGCATAAGAATGTTATTCCTAAGACATTTGGGATTCAATACTGTTTCAAATTCTTGAAGAACGTTTGCATCGTTGTTTAAGATGTTCGTGTGTCACAGGGACCTGAAGCAGTTTTCCTGTCACAGCCAGAAGAGATAAGCCCACAGACTGACGCCGAACACGAATCAGACTAGTTTACAGTTCAGGACACATCGGGTTCATCCAATATCTGATGAAACATTTTTTACACAGCCATGAAGGTTGTGTTGATGACAAGTCATGAGGTCCTATCCTCCCTGTACGAACTACAAAGGACAGGGACAAACTGGGCTATGCTGGTCAGCACATGACGAACGTCAACTCCCTCCTCGATAAGCTCACTCCACGCCAGGGTGTCATCAGTTGCCGGGAACATCTAGAGCAGGATCGTGACCTGAATGAGACTCTAATAACGCTGACACGTGGTGAAACTCACTCATTCTGATGTTCATTTGACGCTGTGTAACTATTGTGGCTATGTTATTGTATCAAACATTATGAGGGAAGACAACATGACACTTTATTGATATTAGGATTCAGTCATATCTATAAGGTTGTATGTAAAGTGAGGTAAGGTGAAACTGATTCAAGGTTGCGTTCAAGACGATTTCTCTTCCACAGCAACGCGCATAATGTGTATAATGTTCTCTATACTTGACCGGACTGATACAGTCTAGGTTTAGACCACTGGGATAACAATGCTAGTGTGAAAGGGATACATCTCTCACTCAAAGAATTTCTGGTAATTAAGAATAATATGAATACATGAGAACACCAATGGTCATATTGTAAAAACTCTGATTCCTTAAGACATGGTAAGGTAGTCGTGGAGTCGTACAATAGACTTTGCTTTCAGCAGATATGTCATTTATTGCTCATCTGTATATGTTCCTAAAATGTAGACTTGGGTGCAGTGACAAGAAGAAAACATGCAGCAGTTTGCCTGTATTGTATTTACATCATAAGCATCTTCCTTCAGTTGTACACTCTTCAAGTTGTAAAATTTGTTTTTGCACAAATTGTATTGGCGTGAAAAAAGTTGAAAAGGAATGAGAACACATGTCTATATTACGACGTCCCTTCTTCTTTGTATAACCCGTGAAGATCCGGGTTAGAATTGATCTTCAGTAACCCATGCCACTAACGGGATAGGATGGTCAGGCTGGCTGACTTGGTTGACACATGTCGTACCCCAATTGCTGTATCAGCTGCCATATATTTGTGACTAACTCATTTGCATTTTATTACAACATCAGTAGCAGGACGACGTCACGAACTGAACCCTTGTAGAATGCACACACACGTATTCTGTAAATTCGTTGGTAACCTTCCACCTGAATAAACCGACATGCATAATATCAAAGACATGTTTAAATGTATTTTTAAAAGGGTTTAACGCCGCGTAACACTTAATAAGTCGAACGCCGTTGTGTTGAAGTTGAAGACACCTACGTATATATTTACGAGGTTCGACACAAATGTAACATAATGACTAAATAAGGAATACACTGGGACAAAGTTCTTACTTCGACACAAATGTAGCATATGACTAAATAAGGAATACACAGGGACTAAGCTCTTACTTCGAAACAACCATAACTTCGACATCTCTAAGGTCGACTCAACACTGTGTGACTGCAATTCGTGGTTTAGCTGACAATGCTTTTTTAGACAACATTCTGAAGTTAACAGGCATCACTAAAGTTTGAGCTCCCGCAGTTAGTTCGAATAGAGCTTTCTTCTTTAATGGGACCGTCAAATATAATGTGTGCTGCCATTAAGCCAAATACCCTTTCATTTCATCTGCAGTAAATGGGATGATAAAGCAAAAATGTACAAATGAATTTGTAAAGCAATATATATATAGCTACCCGGTATGTCATACAGAAATACGATTATACTGCGAAAAGCTTGGGGCATACCGTCAGTAATGAACTTCATACAGGGAACTCAAAACCTGCAGTTCTCTTTGACATGTTTGATATGGCGTCTGATTTTACTCAAATAATGAGCAGGGCGTTTAAATAGCGCCAACTAACACTCAGAAGTATAGTTCTTGCCTTTTCTGTTGCAGTATTCGTAGTAAATATTTTCCAAATAATGTCATATATCCCGGCTGTAATTCATTGGTTTTTCCATCCAGATAGGTAACGATTTTGCGCTCCTTAATATCGTTGCCTCAGCCCACAAAAGACATTTCCATCATCTTGCTATTTTTTCTCATTTTCGTAACGGGTAGTTGCTAAAACCATTGTCCATAATGTCCTTAATATTGTAAATGTATGGGTTTACCTTGCTTGGGGTTTTACAGCTATTACACTGAACAAAACCAGTGAAGTTTTCTATTTATATCCATTAGGATTCGAACCCGGACCTTCGGCGTAACAAACGACTTTTTCCAACACTAAACTTGCCCAGAACTCATAAGAAAGACCATGATCATAACCTTTGGGTAAGCGTGTATTCAGTGCCTTTAATGGCTGCGGCGTTTAATCTTAACATGGACTGAAGTGTTGCTCAGCACAGATTTTACAAAAACAAAGTTAACAAACCGCCGAGATATCAGATAAGCTGCATGTCAACATAAATTACGCAAATATTTATATGAAAACTCAATTACTATTAGGTCTATTGCGTACAGGTACGCTTGAAGTTTTGCAAATACTCAATAAATTTGATCTTACATGCGTACACACATGAATGTCACTTTTTAGCTTGCGTACCGGTGGTTGGATAAAATAACTGAGGTATATTGAGATGTCTTATTTCAACACATGAACTTGGCTACTTGTGGTCTTTCTTATCGTTTCTCATATTACAGATCAAATACGAATAACAAACACGTAAACCAACATTTAAACTTTATAACTTTTATACATATTTATGGAAAATGTTCAAAATACCCAATTGAGTTGGATTGGAGTGGGTACAATATACTTGGATACTCAAAGGAAAATTAGGATACCCAATTGAGATGAACACAAGCGAGTACATAACTCAATGACCCAAAAGTTATCTGTAGCTCTGACTTTCACAAACAACCATTCGGGGTAATCCACGTAGTTAAAGCTCCATAAAACATATATTGTGTGGTTGCACCAACCATGCCAACAATAACTTCGGTAAAAGTATGTGTTCAGTGAGTGTTAAAGGTCACATGCAACGTAAAACACAACTTTGCAGATTATGATACCTGCGAGCTTTTTATATGTTATGACAGGAGATAAACTGTTTATATAATTTCATTTGTCTATTTCACCACACGTTCTTCTTACCAAGTCACTTTCTCAGTTCGATACTTAAAGCAATGTCATTATTTAGCGTTGACAGAATTTCTAACTGTGATATAGAAATGTCGTTGTCACAGACAAAACTCAATGTCTGTTTTATTGACACCTATGTGTCTGCCTGCCTGTCTGCTAATGACCATATTCAATACACAACTTCGATCACTGACCACATGCAATTTGAACTTAACACCAATCAGGCTATACACCATAAACAAAATGCATTGATTTATTGCCCGAGTTCGGTCTCTGTCACATTATGTAATTACACAGACAGGCAGGTGTGATACTTGTACACATGACATGTTATGATGTCTGTTGATTGCAAAATGTTATACACAAAAAATGAGCATGTATTTACAAAACCCAACATCTCTATATATACACACACAATGAGCCGTGAGGGCATCTGCAAATGAACCAGCCGTTACACTTGAGTGCACACCCACCCGCTCTGACTGGGTTCGGTATCCCGGCTGCTTCGTTTCTTGGGAAGTAAACCCAAGTACACAATATTGCACTTTTGATTTGCGATTGTACGCTTATAATTTTGTTTATATGTTTTTTCATAACCAGCAATGTATATTATATGTCATGAATAAGTGATAATTGTGTTTTAATTATGTTTGATTTTTGGTTGCATGTGACTTTTAAGTATTGCATTCAACTTGTTTTTGGTACATTGTGTGACTGTTTGTGGAGTACTGTGCTGTCAACACTGTGTCGCTAGTGGGCTCCCAGGGAAACCCATGTGGATTCCGGGAAGGACTGCAGTGACCTTCAGGGCCTTGTTATCAAAGCAGTCGCTCAAGGACCTGTCACCAAAGCAAACAGATCTTTACGTAATGAATGTTATAAATGTCCACCGATATTTGATAGAAGGTTGGTAGGCAAATATGTATGTTCCTCCAGATGAGCATAGGTGTTGAGATACAAGGTGCAAAGATATGTTTGTTTGTTGTTTAACGCCACACTCAGCAATTTTTCCAGCTATATGGCGGCGGTCAGTAAATACTCGAGTCTGGACCAGATAGTCCAGTGATCAACATCATTGACATCGATCTACGCAACTGGTGAGCCTGACCACTCGATCCCGTTAGTCGCCTTTGACGAGAAGTATGGGTTGCTGAATCGACTAAGTCTAACCTGGAACTATATATATGGTGCAAAGAAGCGAGGGGAGCACAACTGAACTGAAATATATATGGCCAATGAACATGTTCAAAACATGTCACTAAAAATACATTTTGGCTTCTGTGTTGAGTATGAGTTTGTCAGATGACACAAACAATGTATGATAAACAGCACACTCCTTTGAAAGCACATGATTGCAGTCTTGAAAACCTTGAACTGTTAAATACAGACTGACCTTGTGTTTACCAAGTATGCAAATGCAAACATTATACATTAATACACGTCCAGTCACGTGATTTTCACAACCGTGTAGTTCCTGGACTGACGTCAGCACCTGCAGTCAATGATGGTGGATGGATCGATGGTTTCAGAAAGGTAAGAAAGAACACTCATCAGAGTGAGTGAGTGAGTATGGTTTTATGAAACTTTCAGCAAGATTCCAGCAATATCACGGCGGGGACACCAGAAATGGGCTTCACACATTGTACCCATGTGAGAATCAAACCCGGGCCTTCGACGTGACGAACGAATGCTTTAACCACTAGGCTACTCGAGAGAGTGAGTGTCGCTGTCTTCGCGCTGATCATTTCCAAGTACATTAAACATAATGCGTTGGCACGAGTGTAGTTTGTTTGACGTCAGCTCTTTAGGTCAAGATCACACTAGTTACCGAGATGATCATTAGCTGGCTTTGCAAATAGATTTACCTATGGCCACACACACAGGTGATTCATATCAGTGTTGGGGTACCCAATGAGCAATGACATGTATCTATTATTAGGTACCTCGGGAAAACCAGGGTATGTTATCGTGACGAGAGGGGGAGGGGGGAAGGGGAAGAGAGATTTCTCCTAAAACCTTTGTACTTCATGATTTATGTGCAACCGCACCCGCGCCCCCAACGCACGCACACACACACACACACACACACACACACACACATTGTCACGATAACATTGTTATTGTATGTGGGCGTAAGGGACGAATCCGTAAGTCATTTGAATGTAAGGGTTCGGTAGAGGAGGGGGGTTCACATATATAACCAGGGTATGTTATCGTGGCCGACCGCGTGCGGCTCGAGGGGTGGGGGGTGGGGTGATTGTAGTGCATATCCTCCTGTTACTTAAAACGAGGTTGTCTGATTTAATCACACGTCGTTTTCGATCAGGATCAAGGAACTTACTGGATTAACACTGTTGTTACAACTGTGACGACGTCAGACACCTGTATGGAACTGAAGACTTGCTTCATGCTTGCCCACAATCTATCAAATTGAATGCAGTTATGGCCAGTATATCAAATCGGCGTCTACAACAGGGATAGCACTTGATGACCCCACGGTGTTTAAAGGTCACATGCAACGTAAAACACAACTCTTTAAGATTCTGATACCTTTCGGGATGGACTTACAGTAACAAATGATTAAAAATGAAAAATAAGGCGATGAAAAAACCCCGCGAAATCGGAGTTCAAAAGATTCACTAAGTTCATCCCAGCTGGGGTGAAAAGTGGTTTCAACAGCTGTGCGGCGCTGCGCTCATGGCGCATGCGCAGTGAATAGGTTCGCGCAGCTTGGAATTAGTTATTTGGGGTCTAGGTCAAAAGCCTCTCGGAACAAAAGCCCCTCGAAAAATGACCAAAAGCCCCCCATTTTATGTATTAATGGGAAAATAAGACTAAACATGTATTAAGACAAGAAATGATTGATGATATGAAACATTGTATTCCTTCAAAATATAATGACCCTAAATACAATATAAATTAATACGTAATTAGCAAATAATTCTAGTGAATAAGAAATAAATTTCATCAAACGAATGAAAACAAATCAACAAGAAATGATTAATAAGTGAAAACATGAAACATTCTATGGCATAATCAACACAACCTAATGGTTTTGGCCTATGGAGGAAAGAAAGTCCTCAGTTCTGTTTTAGGCGGCGCTGTGCCTCTGCAGAATTTCCAAGTAAGAAATTATCACATTTTCTCCATTTCCTTTACATTGGTATGATAAAATACTTAAAATACTTTATAAAATATATACGAGCCGTAAGAAATGTTCATTCTTTTATGAAATACATGAATCGAGCTTTGGACAGGGGTGCTCAAATTAGCAAGGGGCTTTTGTCCATAGGGGCTTTTGGTCGAGGGGCTTTTGTACCAAGGGGTTTTTATCCTGAGGGTCTTTTGGCCGGTCCCCGTTATTTGAATTATTTAGCGTCGCACGCACAGCTAAAGTATTTCGGCGACGGGGTAGTACACTTATTAAGAAATGAAAGGGAACAAAAAGTAGAAATTTTGAAAGAATGGTGTTGGAAGCTATGATGTGAGCTATTTTTCTAATCATTTGTTGATATTTCACATTCGCAAGCTTTTATATGTTATGACAGGAGATTACCGATTTAACTGTTTATACAATTTCATTTGACTGTTTCACCACACGTTCTACTTACCAAGTCACTTTCTCAGTTTCATACTTAACATCAACGTCATTATTTAGCATTGTCAGAATTTCTAACTGTGATATAGATATGTCTTTTCACAGACAAAACTCAATGTCTGTTTTATTGACACCTATGTGTCTGCCTGCCTGTCTGCTAATGACAATATGCAATACACAACTTCGATCCCTGACCACATGCAATTTGAACTATATCAGGCTATACACCATAAACAAAACGCATTGATTTATGGCTCGTGCACCTGAGTTCTGTCTCTGTCACATTATGTAATTACACAGACAGGCAGGTGTGATACTTGTACACATGAAATGTTATGGGGTCTGTTGAATGCAAAATGTTATACACAAAAATGAGCATGTATTTACAAACCCCACCCGCTCTGTCTGTGTTCGGTATCCCGGGTGCTTCGTTAAACCCAAGAACAAAATATTGCACTTTTGATTTGCGATTGTACGCCATTTTGTTTATTTGTTTTTTCACAATCACCAATGTATATTATATGTCATGAAGAAGTGATAATTGTGTTTTAATTATTTTGTTGCTATTGTTGTTGCATGTGACCTTTAACCTGAGTATGTTTGTTAAGTTGCTTGATATACCTTGATATGCAAGCATATATTGAAGATGCTGAATAACTGTGAGGTTACATGGACAAACGATATATACTCTTTCATTCCTCCATAGGAGATTACAAGAACAGCAGGGGAAAAATTAAATTAGATCATGGATAGTTTGTTACTCGTGTAATTTAAGAGTAAATATAGTGGCAGAGGCAGTAGAACCCCTCGATGAGCACAGACTGGTACAGCTGGAGGTCGTCTTCCTGCAGGGTGACTGGGGACTGACAGGACAGGATGCAGGATGCTAAGTCTGCGTCAGATCTGGTGTGGAGACTGACACTCAGCTCAATTGGGTTGATACTGGTGATGTTGCACCACAGAGTGTCTCTCGCAGACTCGTTAGCAACACAGCAACATACAATATGTGTTAACCGGTCGTTGTGATCACAGCCACAGTCAGAACAGGTACCAGGAACTTTGTCTGGGCGCCATGCAGAACACATTTGCACTAGGAATGTGCACTTCTTCTTCAGTCTTGGCAAGGCCTTTGCAATCTTCCAGGCTGGATGAGGTTTGATGGAAGAATGAATATTCAGAAAACGCTTCAGGTCTGGATCTGACGACGTGCGGTGCAGCCACTTTTCCTGTATAGCTTTCTTCACAGTTCTCTTCCATGATGATTGAGGCATAAACCGATGAGTCTGTAGGAAGGAATGTAGTTGGGGCAGCAGATTATAATGTTCAAGAATTTGGCATATATCCGGAAGGAATCCTTGAGTATGTCCTGTGCATTTGTTCTTGAAGGCATGAAGTCTGTTGAGGAAAACCTGGTGTGCAAGGAGATGGTGTTGGGTATTGCAGAGGATACCAAAGAAGAACAACTTTCTCATATGTATTGCTGCTTCCAACGGGCCATCCTATCAATGAGTTACAGATGGCTGTACTTGTTGATCTTGGTAAGCCTTGGCACACTTTTAGGCAGAAACGTTGGGCTCGTTCGAGAGTTATAATCTCGCCTTTAGTAGGGTTACACCACAACTCTGAGCCGAATAGGGCCCTTGGGATGCTTACAGTTCTTACGAGGTTTGCACTAGTGATGGGGTTTAAACCTTTACAGTGGCAGCCAGACTTCATCAGCATCATCGTTGAAGATTTCATTTTGGAGCTTGCACTGACCATCCTGTCCCAGGAGTTGAATTGTGAATTAAGACTCACACCAACATGCTTGAGTGATTCTGAGATTGGTGTTTCTTTTGAGAGAGGATTATGTTGCAATCCGTCTTTTTGATTTACCAAATAGCATTACATTGCTCTTAACAGGTGAGAATGTGAATCTCCATTGTTTACTAAAAAGTCTCACAAAGAGCGACCATGTCCTAAAAATTGTAAAAGAAAAACTGTTTTGTGCCTTTATTGACTTCTCGAAAGCGTTCCATAATGTATGGAGGGTTGGGCTCTGGCATAAACTACTTAACAATGGAATTAAGGGTAGATTTTTAACTCTTGTTCCAAATATGTATGCTAACATCAAATCGTGTGTACTATCAAACAATAATATGTTGGATAACTTCCCATGCTACTCTGGCGTGCGCCAAGGTGAAAACCTTTCCCCACTTTTGTTCTGTTGATTCATAAATGACCTGGACGAATTCCTTACTAATGATGGATGTACATCTGTGAGTCTTCCTAACTTCCCAGATATTGATATGAACCTATGTATTTCATTTATGATTCTACTTTATGCAGATGACACAGTCCTTTTTCGCTGATTCAGCCCCTGAACTTCAACGTACTCTTAACTCATTCCATAGATATTGTAACATGTGGCATCTAGAAGTAAATCTAGATAAAACAAAAGTACTTATATTTGTGAGCGGTCCAGCAAAATACTCTAAGCTAAAGTTCTATTATGGAAATACTTTGATTGACATTGCAGATGATTACATTTATCTTGGAGTGACTTTCAATAAAAACCGAAAATTCAATAAAGCAATAAGATAACTTTCAGACAGCGCATCTAAAGCTATGTTTTGCCTTTTGAAAAAATCAAGAAACTTTAATACGCCTATAGATTGTTTACTGAAAGCATTTGATATTATGATTTCACCGATCTTGCTTTATGGCTGTGAGACATGGGCATATGAAAATTTACAAGTTATAGAGAAGATTTATTTGAGATTTCTTAAATTAACTATTGATTTACGCTACTCTACCCATATTATATTGTATATGGAGAACTAGGGAGAGTTCCCCTTTATATATTAGCCGCTAAAAGGGTAATCTGTTACTGGTATAAGCTACATTCTGTTGGAACTACTCGCAAACTATCAAAATTGATTTATAATTATGCACTTATCCTAGGCGCTAGAGAAAACGAAGATGATATTTGGACCAAATATGTAAAAGGTGTACTTGATAAATGGGGTCTATCTTATATATTTCATAAACCCCGTAAATGTTTCATACCAATGGTTAACCTCTCAGGTGGAATCAATCCTAAAAGACTAATTTTACCAAAGTTGGAAAGTTGAGATAGAAAATAGCCCTAAAGGTTTCTACTACATATACATTAAAAATCTCCCGATTTTAGAAAATTATCTCCTCCTGCCGGCTTATGTATCTTTACCAATTTTAAAATACAGAACCTGTAACCAAAACCTACCTGTTGAATTTGGCCGTTGGCATGGCATTGATCGTGAAAATAGAACCTGCAATCTCTGTAAATCGCCTGCTGTAGCAGATGAATTTCATTATTTATTTAAATGTGAAGCTTTTACTGAACAAAGAAAAAAATACATTCCCATTAAATACTTATCCTTCCCTAATCTAATAACTTATAAAAACGTATTCCTGAAGCAAAACCTTGCATAATCAAAAAAATTAGCAAAATACCTAAACCTAGTTGATACAAGTGTGAAAAAGACTAAGATGAGTATATTGTACAACTATGCTGTATTTATATTGTAAAACTATAATTGTACTTTCTGCCATCTTGCCTGTATATATATGTAAATGATTATAATGTTTCTCTTGTACCACCAAGAATGGTTCTTTTGAGAATAAAAGAGTTTGAGTTGAGTTTGAGTTTCTGCGATATCAAGTTATTATTTGCGGATTCTACAATGTTTTGCAGGCAGTTAAGGTTTCCTTATCTATGATATTGAAAGAACAACTGTGTATATCTTTACTGTGATATTGTTTACATAATCAGATACAGTATCCTTATCTATCATAGTCAAAGAGGTACATATTCTACTGTGAAATTCTTTACATATTACTGTTTCTTTATCTATGATAGTCAAAGAGTTATTATGTAACATTATGAATTTGGCTATGACGGGGCGTGGTTTCACTGCGTCTCCTGACGGGGATGCCCAATCCTGTGGACCCTCTTAAGTTTCATATTCTGGCTGCCCAGGTGTAATGTAGACTTGATGAACTCTCAGAGAACCTCTTGGGAACTTTCAAAGTCGGGCTAGTTTCGGTTTTGGGGATGTTGCTACAAATAGGATTATCCCTCATCGATATACATCTTTTATCTTTGACAGTTTCTTTGAGTTGCAAGTTCTCCTGACTGAAATTACGGTTAGTGGATATACTCCCCATAACAAGATCTTTGAGTTGCAAGTTCTCCTGACTGAAATTACGGTTAGTGGATATACTCCCCATAACAGGATCTTTCAGCTTATTCAGATCACGTTGAATATTTGTATTTCTTTCTCTTCCAATCGTCGTAATTGTCGGCTACAAACTTCACGCTTTCCTCAACACATGAAACACGACTATTCACGTCGTCGACTTTTAACTCGAGTGTTGCCACTTTTGTTTTTATTTCGGAATTACCATTACTTTAATGTGCAGGAGTTCTTTAAAGCCGATATAATGGTACATATCAAAGATGTTTTCAGATAGATATAGTTCTATTCATTATATGTAAGTACGTGATGTCCTTAATTGTTAATTCATTCACTCGCAATGCTAGCTGAGAGCAGGAGTTCAATTTAACAGAGTCTGACCAATTTTCTTTAAATGCGAATTATTGGCACTTATCAAAGTCGTTTTCAGATGTATATTATTCTATTCAATAGATGTAAATACATTTCATGGTACATATGTGACATTTTACTCACCTCTTACCACCCGTACTAGTGATTGATACTGTGTTGAGAATGTGCTTTACTTTGAGCAGCCTGTATGTTTTTAATACTACTGTTTTAGTCACAACTACTGACAGACACTATGTTGAGCGGGTGAGAAACTGACATTTGGGATATTACTGATGTTGCGGCTTCGAAGATGAAATGCGAGTTGATTACACCCTGCATGCTACGAAGCCATGAAATTTGCATATTATGGGTCAGAGGAATATTGTAAGCGGTGACTTGTGTGCATCGTGCCTTGAGATGTGGGACTGATTCGAAGGACATGTGTCGTCACACTGACGTTCCTCCGTCTAGCATACAACGACATTTAGCATTTGAACACCGAGTACTAATGAAACACTCAATACAATCAATAGTCTAGGTATGCATGTGTCAGACATATCTAGACTCGATGAATACGAACCATGGCAGTGTGTACTTAATAAGTACAGCGGTGTTGATATCGTATCACTTAACGTATTTGTGGAGGTGTGTGTACAGTTGTGCACATGCTTGTACCAAGCCCTCCTTACTGATTCATTGTTTCGAGTCTCTCGTTCGTGGCTAACTGAGAAATATAACATACATGCCTAAAGGAATACTTCATTCTTAAGCAGCGTAATTTGTAATGAGAAAACATATCATTGTGAACAAGTTTGTATCATGCAATATGTGCTGTTTATCTTAGGGTTGCAACAATATGTATGTGTATCAAACACATATATATATACACACAAACAGAGACGGAAGTGTTGCCATCATGAATATTGTCATAACTCATGTCACATTGCATGTGGCGGATTTAGTGTGTGGGTACACCAACTACAAAGTCCGTTGATAGTAATAAACAGTGGGGGTTGCATTACACTCTAATTTTTCAGGTCTTAGAAGTGATACACATAAGGAAGATAGTTATTTTATGGATGTCAGCTTCTTTATTATGAATATACACAACGTTTCGAGTTTATCCTTACTCTTCATCAGATGAATGAATAGTATGAAGCAGAGAGTGTATATAAACATGTAAGAACAACAAAAGTTATAAGACAACAAAGATGCAAGCTAAACAATGGAACAATTGGAAGCCAGTACTACCAGTTAATTAGCGCTAAAAGGGCGCCAATACTTAACTAGAGCTTAATTAGAGCTGAATAGAAGCCAACGCTTAGCAGTTGAATAGTGTTGATAGGTGATGAACAGTAGACAGCTAAAGCCGGATTAACTTATAGGGAATAGCGCTAATAGATAAACACAAGGGAGATGACAAATAGAGGCCAGAACAAAACAAACAGAATTCTTTCAGGTCAATGAAGCCGGTACGAGTTTGTGGTGAATTCATTTGTTTTTCAATCTATCACTAATGGGATTTGGGTGAAATTCGTGTTCATTCGAGGAGGGGCCATATGTTTCCTGACTTATATTAGGAGAGGACTTATCACGAATGGATTTCACCAAAGTCTCCCTGTTATCAAAGTAATCTTCACGTAATGTTTCATGCACTGGCGACAGTTTACGTCCAGCTGGACATTTAGATAAATAACCAATCTAATGATCTATACTTAGATATTACACCTGACGTAATAATCACAGCGATATCAGCTACTTGACTTGAATTAAAACCCGTGTATTTCCACACATGAGTCACCCAAAATAACAACAATACATAGTGCATTCAACAGACAGTTGGAGCAATGGATAGAGTCGGGTACCTGCTGTCGTTACTCCTTTACCTCGGAAGTTTTGATGGTAAGTGTAACATACCGTTGTGTGTTAACGTTAAGCGATACGTGTGTTTGTGAAATAGATCATTAACCAGCTTTGTGGTGTAAAGATAACCTCTCATTTTATGGTTCCTTGTTTCCATTTTAGGGGTGGTGGGGTAGCCTAATGGTTGAAGCGTTGGCTCGTCACGCCGAAGACCAGGGTTCGAATCCCCACATGAGTTACAATGTGTGAAGCCTATTTCTGGTGTCCCCCGCCGTGACATTGCTGGAATATTGCTAAAAGCGGCGTAAAACCAAACTCAGTCAGTTGTTTCCATCTTAGGTCTTTAACAGCAATAAGTACATGCCAGAGCAATAAATTAACGTTTGCCATGGTTCAGGTACAATTCACTTTATACCCTTTCCGATCAAGTACCCCTTCACGATCCTTAAGATTGTTTGCAAACAAATATGATTGTTTGTGTACTCAAATATTTATGAATGGTTATAAAATTGTTGGTTGGTTTAAGTTCCGTCGAAAGTTTATATCTACTGTAAACGAAAGCACATTCAAATTCAACATCATCTGACTATCCAAAAATTGTCAACAGTTACGACACTGTTTATGATTAAGAGCTGGTTCTCATAATTAAATCAACAACCTTTATTAATATAAATAAACGAATAGTCAATATAGACAATATGGAACATCGGATCCGGCATTTCACCCGAATATATCAAGATTCCTACTCTAAGGCTAATAATCAGCCTAAAAATAGAAGAAAAATGTCAATAAAACTTTCCTCCTCACAATTGTAACATTTGCCATCGTGAACAGTATAGGAATTTAAGGAACTTATAACTTTAAACTTCTGAAGTTTGATCAACCATTTGTTTGACAAGGGCACTGAGTTTGGAATTCCAAATTCCGATACAAATCTCTGGTCACACTACCAGAATATTGGACAAAAGAAAAGAGAGTGCTGGGTACAGCCATGTGACAAACATTAACAATACCAAGGTACAGCCGGCAATGGTCGTTATCAAGGTCATGGCTAAACAATAAGAATAATCTTTCAAGAAAAGGGACACTAATTATGTCGTCATTGGTGTCCCTTTCTTGAAATAGTGTATGGACGAGACTGCAATGTGTCCTGTCCGAGGAGATATTCGAGCATCACAGGGTCACAACTATCTGTGACCGCCATACTGGTGCTTGTTCAGAAACCTGTGACGGTGGATTGACTGGGGTATTACCTGCAAGGATCAAGTCTGTAACAAAGAAACCGGGTGATGTATCCTTAGATGTCAACAACCCCTGGACAGGATTGTACTACAGCAGAACGTGTGATACCGGGCGATGTATCCTTAGGTGTCAAGAACCTTGGACAGGATTGTACTGCAACAGAACGTGTGATACTTGCCTCAACGCAAGATGCACTGGACCGGATACTGTCTCATTGGTTTCTATGGAAACTCGGTTTTTATGTAAACATGTGCGACAAAACGTGCCCTCGATATTATATTACTGGCTGTGACAGAGGAAGTGATATCTGTGAACGGTGCAGTCCAGGTTATCGAGGAAGACACTGCAACCACAACTGTTCTGGAAACGTGCTACAGAGGCAAGGATGGACACAGGCACTGTGATCGTTATACCGATAACTGTCTGGAGGGTTGTGAAGTAGGATGCTCGGTCATCGTTGTGCCACTCGGTGCAGAACATCCTGCAACTCGTCTCGTTGCTATAGTTATGATGGTGCCTGTGTAGATGGCTGTAAGTCTGGTTGGCATGGCAAATACTGTCTGATCGCCATGCAATACAGCGTGTGTGTACCAGTCGAGATGGATCTTGTACCCACGGCTGTATTAGGGGTTACCATGGAAAGCATTGCCACAGGAGCTCTATTCATTGTAAAGATCATGATTGCGACCAGTATGGGAGATGCAGATATTGTCCAGACGGATGGAGGGGGAAGAATTGCGAACTCCGATGTCCCAGCAGCTGTCACACGTGTGATGATGATGGCGTCTGTATGTCTAACAGTGTGACTTGATTTATAGGCAACGTTTTGACGAATGAGCATCATTTCTCATTTTAAAAAAATATTTCTATTTTCCCTCCAGATCCAAGCTGGATTACGTGCTGATATCAAGCGAACACCTAAACTCCATCAGTGATTACGTGCATGTATATATAATGATCTGTCAAATGATTATTATTATTATTATGTTTTACAGATTAAAAATAGTATACAGCAGAGAGTGTTCGGGTGATCCTGGGACAGTCAGGCTGGTAAGGCTCATCATTAGCTCAGGGCCCTACACGCAGCCCAGACAGCGAATGGGACTTCTCCCAGGAAACGCTGCCCAGTTGAACCCACCAAGAACTTTACGGAGAATATGTAGCCTCTGCATTACCCAGAGTGTCAGAAGGGATTTGCTCCCGGTGGAGAACCCGGCACTCTCTTGATCAGCGCCAAGAGATCAGGAGGTACTAGACCCAGGGCACCGAGAACAATAGGGAGTCTGACGACAATGTACTTGGGAAGCAAGCGAGACATTTCAAAGGCGAGGTCCGCATATTTAGCATGCTTTTCCTGAATCTTGCCAATCACGTTGCTGTCAAAAGGGACAGAACATTCAATGATATAAATAAATTCATTGGCTTTATCCAAAAAGGACAAGATCAGGTTTGTTGACTTGAATTCTTCTAAGGCTGTATATGGGCCTATTCCACAGAAGTTTGAAAGCATCATTTTCCATGACGCCCTGGACACGTTCAGGGTCGTACCATGGATAGACCTCGGAGTCAAAGCCACAGGAATGGTGGAGACGGTATTAAAGGAGTCGGCTGGATTACTGGTCTGTTCCACACACTGCATGTACACATGATGCTGCACACAGAAGATTCTCTACAAGTGAACGACTTAGGACTTCACCTGGTGTACTCCCCATCACTGTGGGAGTGAAGAGCTTCCACATTAATCATACCCCGACCTCCAGAATTGATTGGCATATATAACCGATTGAGAGAGGAACGAGGGTGGTGGGCTCTGTTATCAGCCATGATCCTCCTGGTCAGGCGGTCAAGACTCTGGATATCTTGTTTTGTCCAATCAACTACTCCAAAGGAATAGGAAAGGACTGGCACAGCAAAGGTATTGATAGCTTTGACCTTGTTCCGAGCATTTAGCTCTGAGCTCCAGATTTTCTTTAAACGAGCTTTATACTCGGCCCGAAGTTTGTCTTGAATCTGGGCATTCTGGAGCTTGTCTCCAACTTGCATTACAAGATAGGTGTAGGCCTGATTTTCCACAAGATGCCCAATAACTCCTCCCCCTTGTAACCTGACCGATCCATCATTAATCACCTTGCCACGTTTCAGATGAATTACATTTGTCGAGTCCAAATGTCTTGCCAATATCATTAGAAAAGACTCTATACAAGGAGAACCTGCTCTTTCAGATTGGTATCTCCTTTGGCAAGGAGCTCAATGTCATTCATTTAAAGGAGATGAGTAAGCTGTGTTGGGGATCTGTGCTGAGGAGGTCCGATGGTAACCCTTCCCTTTAAGGAGCATAAAGCCCAAAGAATTTGAAGACCAACAAAATAGCAAATGACTGAAGGAGTCCCCTGAATATTCCCTTCTGATTGGAATAGATTCCGAAGTCTGCACCTTATTATGGCAACGATGATTAATGGTTTTACATATGTATCGCATGATTCAAACAGAGTGCTCTCTATAAATTCAATGACACTTGTTTTCAAGTATCATATCTTCGTGTAACTTGCACACAGACACCTTGAAGCCAAAATGATGACCAATATAACAGTTTGCTTCCTATGGTACCCTCCAATAAGTGCATGAATGTTATATTTTGCTGTTACATATTCAAGTTGCATATAATTTATTGTATTTTCATTCCTTAGGTAAAATGGAGAATGGAATCTTGGATGAATCCGGAAACAAACGCGCCAGGAGCTGGTGCCGCTATTGGTGCCGTGTTTGGTGTCATCGTGATAGTCTCACTGGTTGTCGTGGGTGTAATAGTCTACAGAAGATGGCATCGTAAGCACCGAGGACAGTTCTAAACATTCTAGTCAGTACATGATTCCAGCACTTCATATAACACGTTGAAGAGAAGCATATCTCTACAGATTTAATGAACATATTATGCAGACTATGTTTATGCTCTAAATATTGAATGTAGAAACGGTTGCGTATATACAGTTCTCAATAACATTAACGTTCTCCATATCTTAAGGTGTTATTAAGTGTAGTGCCAGAGAGGACAGGACTGGAATACAGCTCGCTATACCCCATGTATAGTGTAATAAGGTACACTTTTGCCCTGAACTATCATAGTTGAATTACGAGGACGCAAGCAGCAAACGGTATTTCTTTTCTAAGATGGCAATTCCTACCTCTGATTAATCTAAGGCAGAGAAAAAAACACAGAAAACGACGGTGTCGGTGACCTGAATTAACAGTCCTCTTCAGGACTAACTGACGAAGAAATCCAAGAGTTAGAGTGAAAGATTCACGAGAATGAAATGCATAAGTTGCATTAACCTGAATTAACAGTCCTCCTTCAGGACTGACTGACGTTCTTTTATTGACGAAGAAATCCAAGAGTCAGAGTGAAACATTCACGAGAATGAAATGCATAAGTTGCATTGAATGATTCATAGAGTTGAAATCCATGAGTCACATTGAATGATTCAAGAAGTTAAAATTCATACGGTTGAAATCAGATGGCTCTATTGGAAGACTAATGATCGCTGTCACATTGAAAGAAACATGAAGTTAAAATCTTGACATGTTTAAACAGTACTTGTTATAGGACCTCGATCATCACGCACCATATGGTACTTTCAATAGGGCAGTATACATGTTTCCTTCATCCATTTTAAGGGACAAATGCAAAAGAATTTTATCCTAAGAAATAATATTTCACATTCTTGAAGAACGTTTGCATCGTTGTTTAAGGTGGTCGTGAGCCACAGGAACCTGAAGTAGCCAACCTGTCACATCCAGAAGAGATAAGCCCGCAGACTGATGAGGAACACGAATGAGACAAGTTCACTGTTCAGGACGCTTAGAGTTCATCCAATATCTGCTGAAACATTTCTTACACAGCCAAGGTGGTTGTGTTGATGACAAGTCGTAAGGTCCTATCCTTTGACGATCTTTGACCATACAAAGGAAAAAGAACAAATTGGGCTGTGCAGGTCCGCACGTGTAAATTCAAAGACGAACGGCAGCTCATTTTTTAAGAAGCTCACTCCACGCCAGGCGTCATCAGCTGCCGGAAACATCAATGTGCAGGATCGTGACGCGAATGAGGTTTCTGATAACGTTGACACGTACTGAAACTTACTCATTCTCATGTTCATTTGACGCTATGAAACCATATGCTGACGACTGTGATTGTATCAAACATTATGAGTGAAGACATTCATTGTGACAGTTTATGATGATAAGTTAACATGATAAATCTAGGTGTATATGTAAGGTTAGTTAAGGTGAATCTGTGTTCAGGGTCGCGTTCAAGATGATTTTTCTTCCATAGCAACGCGCATACACGTGTGTATGGCTGCCTATACCTGTCCGGGCTGATGCAGTCTACGTTTGGAACACTGAAATACAATACGCTAGTTTAAAAGGTTATCACACACGGGGAAAGATTCTTTTAATGAAAACGATAAGAACATATGAGAACATCAATGGTGATATTGTAAACATGCTATCCCAGCGATTCCTTAAGACAGGGTAATGGTGTGGTGGGAGTCGTACACTAGACTGTGCTTTCACTAGATCTTTCCATGATTGCACAACAGTCTATATTTCTAATATATCATTTAGACTTGGGTCAATTCATAGCGAAATCAAACACAAAAAAGCATACTTTTGTCTGAATTGTATTTACATTACATAGCATTCTACTTCAGTGTTACACACTTTAAGTTGTGAAATTGATTTTACACATATTGTATTGATGTGAAAACAGTTTAACATTGGATCAAGATTCAGGGTCAAGTTAAATAAAGGTTTCAAAGATGAACTGAAATCATTCCTTTAGAAGTCTTCACTAGCGCCTCTGAAATGTATCTATCCATTTATCTATATCTATCTATCTATCTATCTCTTTATATATATATATATATATATATATATATATATATATATATATATATATATATATAGACAATATATATATATATATATATACAATGTCGACCTTTAAGCGACATTTGTGCGACATCTTTAGGCGACAGCTGTCGCCCTAAGGATATATTTCTGTCGCCTAAATATCTGCATGTCACAACTATGTTCATTTTCTTTAATAACTATCCCAAACTAGATGGTTGGATAGAAGTTGGTCTCAGGACCTTCGGTTGTGCTTCTTTTGTATTTTTATAAAACTTCAGTGCTGTTATTGAAAAAACAAAAATATCATGTATATAACGTCTGCGACCTTTCGGCGACACGGGGTTTTCTATAAAATTCTCTAAAACCTGGGTATATGTTCAGTAATAAACAATGGAGAAATTATTGTCTAGATATATGCTATTAGGTTTTGTACAGTTTTTTCAAATATACACATCGTTAGGTGTTCGCCATAACATCACTGTTTCGCTCGCAGTACCTTTCGGCGATTTGCCTTCACGCTCCTGTGCGTCAAAAACGTGAAAGTTCAAAAGCGGCAACGTCGAAATGAGCACTTAGCTAATAATTCAATAATGTCTGTAGATATTGTGGGAGCTGACAGACAAGACTAATATGCCACCAAGAACACGGTTAAATACTTAAAACATTTGATACTTCAATCAAAATAACAATGTAATAATCTGTAAATAAATTGAATTCATGTTTCACACGAAGGCCCGTTCACGTTTTGTGTCAAATCGGATCCCGTTTGCTACAGTTTTCGCGCACTACACGAGGTGACTTGGCAGCACAAAGCTATGGAAAATGCATGGTATGTATCGTAATCGGAGTATTTTGTTGAAAACAGCTGCATGTTAAATTGTATCAAAGGCGAGGCCTGTCCCATGACACAATCTATTTCAAGATTTCGCAACTGGAAGAAACTGTTTGCTAGTAACTTGATCGCGATTGTGAGGTCTCGTATCATGTTGTCACTTTGATCCACACCTAGACTATCGCTTAGTCTCTGAATATATAAAAAATGATATTAACAAACAAACCCATTATAAATTGAAAAGGAGCCCCAGGAAACCAGAACCTAGAAAATCTAGGACTTACTTTCATTTAGACTTTAGCTTGCAGAAAGGGGCAAGGCAGTAGGTAAAATAATATTGTGGTTCAGGGACTGTGAGACAGACTACAGTGGTTGGCCATAAGTGAGTCATCATTAAATTATTATTTTAAATATATATCTACCATCTAATAGATAAATAAAACCCCAAAACCAGTCAATAACCATTACTAATTTCAGGAACTAACCAAATCTGTAAGACTTGAATTCAGTAAAATTACTTATAGGCCAAATGTAGAGATAGCATAACACATTACAATCGGTTTTATCACCCACACTGCATATTTTGACTGCATCAGTGCTTGTCACCCTCTGTTAGACCATGGGGTTAATACTCATTGACTTGGGTTTGCTCAAATAATGAGCTGATACTGCAGTGTTGAGGAAGACTTGTAGTTATAGTTTCATGATGTCACTCTCCATTGTTGCTCTTTGCTGTTTCCTCTGATAGCTGAACTACACATTTTTATATCAGCTACACATTTCCTAAATTGTTCATGCAAAGGAAATATGCATTTGCTCTCTTGACCATAATATGTTTCAGTTACATTATTTATATCAAGAGTTTTGTAACTTTCAAATATAGCTTTTTGTACTCCTGCTTTCAACCCTGTCCCTTTGGGTGTTTATGTGCAGTGTATCTCCTCCACTGGTCTATCAGAGTGAAAATATCAGTGTATAGTGATGAAATGTATATTTTGGACCATTTTCATGCTAATAATAATAATTATCTCCATATGAGTACAAAGATTGTAGCCTACCACCTATATTATTACCTACAAGTAAAGGCTGTCTGGGTCAAACCTTGTTTGTTTTTAGTAACCTGAAAACATTTTGTAGGCTGGTTATGAGAAGAATTTCTAATTACCAGATAACACATTTACTGCTGCTGAGAGATCCTAAAAGATAAAACCTTTCTTGCATTTGGCCCAGGACTATAACCTTGTCTGTCCACATGCCACTGACACTCAGCCAGCATAATTTCATGACCAATACATCCTCCTACTCACAGGTGACTCAACTGACAACCATAAATGTTGGTTACGTTGTATTTTTCTGCACTTGGTCCAACACTTGATATAGTTTCAAATGCTAGAGATTTTCCACTTCAATTTGACAAACAAATACATGTACTGATGCACTTGAATCTGTTAATTGAATATTGTGCATGAATACAGTCAAGAGTTCCCTTTGAGCTTTCTCTATAATTCCATTTGCAGATATATCTTTGTATGTTTAATGCAGGAACATTTCTAAAGTCTAAAATCCTGTACATTGTGTAACATATAAAAAAGAGGGTAAACAACAGTGGACAGAAAAAGATTAACTGAAAAGCAAGGATGAATCTCACTAAAGACATTAAGACATGTTATAATCTTATTGGTTGGTCAATAGACCAACTGTTTCTATGCAGGGATATGTTATTAGTCTTTTATGTTTTTAAGGTTACCTTAGCGGTCAAATTGCATAAAAGGGTAAATTTGTTCAAAGCAGGGGTTTCTTAAACAAACATTTTCTTTTTTTTAAAACATGGATGTGAAGTTTAACATTTCTTTCAATACAAACAGTAAGAATTAAAGCCTCTTCCTGCTGTAAGTTACCTTTTAGCAAAGCCATAACAAGAGTTTCAGAAATGCCTCTTTGATGCATCTATTCAAGGTAGTGCTATTCATCATTGGCCCATCATCGGCTAATAGTTTGCACTGTTGACTAATATCAACATCTCTGAACAGCACTGGAGCAGACAGTAATGATATAAATCATAGAATCGATGATTGTTATTATGAATAGTAACTTAGAAATCAAAAATTAAAAAGAACCCTGAAAGACTGGTGAGTTTTTGACATTTATGCATTTCACACTAACAAAATCCTGAACATGATTTAGAGGAAACCCACAATGAAAGACATAACTTTGTATATCGTGTGAGTAAATTGAAACCATGGGAATGTATTATGGGTATTCTTAAATTCCATTCAAATTGACTTGATGGCACAAGTTTTTCCCTTTGGTCACCCTTCAACTCAAGTTCAAGTTGACAAAGACCGCTAAAAAAGTCAGAAAAGGTCTAGCCTGTCTCATAGTTCCTGAACTGCATTATTTTTACTTCCGTCTATGCTTTTCTGCAATGATAAAGACCAATTTAAGCAAGTCTTAGATTTACTTTAGGTTCAGGAAATCTCCCATCTCACTCCTGAGGTCCTTCTCAGTTTAAAAGGAATTGTTTGATTCTATCAATATTATATATATTCAGAGACTCAGAAGTGCTAGTCTCCAGATGGTCATGTTAGACGTGGAAATCCTATCCAATCCAGCTATATTATGCCTGGTAAGTTAATTTTATTTTACAAAAGTTTCTGCATATGAAATATTGTAAATTCAATAATTTATGTGTGTTGTTAGGGTGATAACTAAATCTAGTAGAATTTTTAAATACTTTATCAGTTCAGAAGAAAAAATATTATTTCTTAAGCTCCAGCCTTTGAATTTAAGAATACAATCATTTGGAGAATAATATTGTTAACATTTTAATGTTACATAATGCAGACAATTACGAACGGGATCAAGAGACGTTGAGCTTGGCAGAGGAGAAATGTGATCTTCAAATTGCAGAACTCAGAGGGGAGTCTCTGGAGGCATTCCAAAGAGGAAGGGGTAGGTTATGTGATCCAGAGATCAATACCTTCACGCTAGTAGGTTTAAATTGTGAATACCCTCTTTTGCACAACTTTGTTAAATATATTTCAAGCTTAACTAGGGTTGTCACGATACATAAGTTCTTCTATGAATCGATACATATCACAATACTCATGACATGATTTGATATGTATCATGATACCTAAATTCACTGCATTATTATGCAAATTTAGTTACATTTTGAACATTAAATATTTTATAATAGTCCTTGAAAATATCAACATTTTCATTCTCAGAGATTAAAAGTTCTAATTCTCCCATCTTTGTGCATGAAAAATAATCATTTATAACTCTCTATAACACATAAAAAATGGATACAATTGCAAAATGTATGATACATATTAAAACGTATTTAAATCGATACTTCTCTCAAAACTAAATATCAATACAGCTTTGAATGTTGTATCAATGATTGTACCTGTCTTAGAAAAGTATCGATGTATCATGGAATTCGTAACCTTAACAATATTCTGGCCTTACCTTTAGTAATTCAACACCACAAACTTGCACCACCCTCATGAAGAAATGCCTCATGAATCTTTTGCAAATTGTTTTAATCCTTTTCCTAATATTAGTACAGTTATCTTGAATGGCTGTGTGCCGATTAGTACCGTGTGAGCAGCAATTACATGTATTAGGTATTATCTCTCATCACATGATCTTTTACCATTGATAGATGTAATAAGAAATCTCAAAATGCAGCCAATAAGAGATTAATTGGATAGACATGGAATAGCCTTTACAGATATATATATCGGTCTCTTTGATGAATATATATGAAAAAATTAAAGAAAACTGTATGTACTCCATCATCACAAGCAGTTCCAGACATGGCATTGTGGTTCCTTGATCACCGAAACTTTACAGAAAAATGTAGACCCTTTTGAAAAACTGGCAGAATTTGCCTCTTTCAATGCATCAACAGGGTAATTTTCAACATTTTTAAACTTTCTTTCTCATTGACTTCTGCAAAATTTATCATAATTCCAAAATTAACCTCTGCAATAATCATGTTCTTTATAGAGATATCATTTCTGTACTTCTAGGCTACTTTTACCCACTCATATCTTACCACAGTTCCATATAGAGAGGCTGATGCATACAAGCGCTCTCAGCAAAATACAATAATTCATCCGAGACCCATTAAGAGAAAATATTGGCTTCTTCCTCAATACAGAGTATACAAATTAACATATACTACCTAAGATTTTGTTGTTTCTTCAGAAGCTATTGGACCAATCTGTCATCGGATAACTAGGGTGTATTAAAAGTTCTGAATACCATTCTGTTCTGATTATCATCTAATTAAATTTGTTTTACATAATTGTAATCAGGTGTTTAAATGGGTTGTTATCAAACAGATCTCCGCGTAATTGTTAATAGCATTTTGCATTAATGTTTTGGTGTGTCCCTTCATACACATAAAATCTAGCAAATGAGAACTGAAGACACTCAGTATTCCATGTCAGCAGATACATACTCTTTGTTTTATCCTTTCAGGATTCAGAAAGACTTAGTATCTGTGAGAAGGTACTAAAATGTAAAGGTGGATATACTGTCTACTCAGCAGATGCACTTGAAGTCAGTAAAGGTACCACACCAGCTTTAGTAGTTTCTTCTAGATAATGTAAGATAAGTGAACACCCAGAACATATCATATCATGATACTAAAGTCATAGAATGTATTTATTTCTGATATACGATGCTACTGGTAAGGCTTCTCATTAGTAAATCAATCTGGCTTAAATTCCAGCATTAGATATAACTAGATGTATTGTCCAAAGGTCTGTGTTGTTGATGAATAGGGATGTATTGTGCTGACCATCGGCAACTTAATTTAAGTATATATATATGTATTATGCAGCAGACTCTTGGGCAAGATATGTATATCATAATCATCAGAATTTGGGTAATACATCCTATTCCACCTATATTTACATACCTTTGGCAACACATCCTATCTGTTATTTTTACAGACCATTGGGGCAACATATATTAACATCAGACCTTGTCAGAAGACCTTTAAGCAAATACATCATATCTGCTATCAGTAGACCTTTGAGCAAATATAATTGAGTATTTTTCTAGTTAGACTCTGTGGGGTAAATAGCATTCATATAACTAGTAGACCTTTTGGGTAAATGCATCTTATATATCACTCAGTAGACTTTTAGGCAAATACATCATATGTATTTTTCATCAGTGTATCTTTGGGCAACACATCATATATTATCAGTAGACTTTTGGCAACACATCATTTATACTATCAGTAGATATCTGGGCACCGCATCATCCAATCAGTACATCTTGGCAACACATCTTATATATATTACCAGTTAGACTTTTTGAGCAACACATCATATATATTATTAGTACAACGTTGAAGCAACACATCAGGTATACCGGCAGATCTGTGGGCAAATACATCATATGTATTATCAGTAGACCTTGGGCAACATACATCATACATATTTACCAAAGTAGACCTTCGGCAACACATTAATCAATACCTATACTATTAGTACAACTTTGGGCAAATACATCATACAATCAGTAGACCTGTGGGCAACACATCATATTTATTATCAGTACACCTTTGGGTTACACATCATATATAATGTATATACTAAACTCTCTAGTTCACTTGTCTACAGTCAAATATAATCAAACTTTGTATCCCTAAAGAGGCTATTTAACTAATCAGTTTGTAATCTAG